TTTGACATCAGACTTAAGTAGAAAAATAAATCAAAACTGTAACCATGACAAAAATAATCATATATACACTGTAGAAAAATTAGTCACAAAAGATGTGTCCTTATGTAAGAGAAAATGTAGATGACAACAGCAGAGGTGGGAGTGTGGTGTGCTGTGTCCTTTTCTGAACAAGATCTTTCGCAACCAACACTGGTCTATTCATTTCAACTAAACCAAGTTCTCCAATCTCCCTGGAACACATTTGATGGCTCCCAGGGTATAATGAACCCAGAGCCACCCTTACTTACTGCCCCTGTCAGCAGCTGAGCTAGTACCCACAAATTCTTGTGCTTTTTCCTTGAGCACATTTATAGTGTTTGTGCTTGTTATAGTAATTACTTACTACTGTTAAGTAAAGGATGAAACAAGAATAAAGAAATCACTGTAGTTCTATAAAATCTAAATAGAAAGATGCCATATAAGTAATTGCAGTCAAATAAGGTAGATGTGAGATAATTTTCAAAGACTGAAGGTAAGGGTGGGAGGAAAGAATCAGAAAGATTTAGAAATATGCACTTATTTTGTAAAATACCTTTAATTTCTTGTTCTACTTTTAAAAAGAAATTAGAGGAAAACAGTAATACTACAGATTAATAATAATAATTGGTAATGATTATTGAATATATATTTCAGGATATGTCTTAGCTAATAATAATTGGTAATGATTATTGAATATATATTTCAGGATATGTCTTAGCTATGTCTAAGCATTTCATATATTAAACTTGTTTATAACTTGTTAGTGCTATTTTACATGTTATGTAAATTAAGCTTAGAGTTAGAGAACTTGCCCAAGATTATGTTCCACAAAGTGATGGAAACTGGATTTTGCCTAGACAGTCTGGCTTTTCACCATTATGCTGTTCTAGGGCACTGTGGGTATAGTTTATACACAGAAGTCATAGAACTCTATGCAGTGAATTCATGGAACCTTTAGATCTTCATCAGAAGATAAGAAATAAATGTCCAAATTATAAGTTTTAGGTTTCAAAAGTTTAAAGTTTCCAAGTTATCTTATTTTATGATTCTCTTGCTTTAAATAACTTAAAAGTTTAAATGTCAGTCTAATTACATAACCTAGAAGGCTTTATCTTCTATTCAGGGGGCAGGTGAAAGATGATAGTCTTAAATACCAGAGTAGAAGTTGGGATCTGCCCCTCGCTGAATTTACAAGAATTTATTGTACATTTGGACCAAGAGCACAGCATGATAACTGCTATTTTAAAGGGATAATATGGTAAAGTGGCTTGGGTTATTTTAATAGAAATAAAAATGATAAAACAGATGAGCAAAATGGGAGAACTCTTGGATATATACTATATGAATATAAAAGATGACAGTTCTTTTTCTGCCTTAAAGATTTGTTAAGATTTCTGCCTTAAAGATTAGAGGCCACAGTCTCTAAGACTTTATATGTTCATTCAACAAACATCCACAGAGCTAAGCTGCTACTTTGCACTAGAGATACAACAGTGAGGAAGACAGACACAGTCTCTACCTCTATGGGTTCTAGTGGAGGACGCAGCAATATAACAGATGAGTGGACTATCACTGCTAAGCACTACCAAAGTAAAGTACTTTAGGAATATATAATAATATAGTAATAAACAACTAGTTTTTTAAGGGGAGGGGCACTCAGATTTGTAAACCCATGACAATAAAAATCAAGATCCTGAGTAATATTTGTACATTTTTTCATTAACTCATTTGGTCACAACAACCCAAAGTGATATTATGCCCAGATGACTAGCTGATTAATGTTAGTATCATAACTCTAAAATATTTGCTGAATCTATTACATATGGGCTCTGTTCTAGGAGTGGGACATAAAGTAATAAAGAAGCCAGATCAGGTCCTTGCCTGGATAGCATCTGAACATTCTGAGACAATCAAATACATTTCCTCCTGGGTGGGGAAATTTATCTTCTTATCTTGTAGTGATGACTTTCCAGGGTTACAGATAAGTAAATATCATTTTTAAGACTTACAATACAGTGCATTAAAATGTTCTGTAGTGCTTGGCAGACTAGTTAGTGCTCAATAGATGTTAATTATTCTTAGAATTGTACTAATACTAAATCTTATCTTTCTAATACAACGAACTTCATTTCTTAAATTCTATAAGCACTTAAGTCTATCGTGAGGTTGCTATATGCTTCATAGAAATTATGAGATCACTGAGAAAAACATCTTTCATAGTAATGATTTCCACCTTCAACACTAAGAGGCTATGTGATCTTGGATAAGCATCAACTTCTGCTAAGCCTGTTTCCTCACGCTGAAAAATACAATAGGGCTGAGAGTAAGCTCAATGGTAGAGTGCTTGCTAGAACACAGGAAGCTCTGAGTTTGATCCATAGCACCAAGAAAAAAAATCAAATGCTTGTAATACTTATTCCATTCAACAGTTGTCAGCAAAAGCAGGCAGCAGAGGAGTGTCAATAAAAGTTAAGCATAAATCAAAACTATTCTTACTCTGAAAACAGATATGGGTTAATCTACAGTTAACTAAGAAGTCTTGTAAAATCATAAATTATTTAAAAGCAAATCAGTTATCACTTAAAATTCAAACATGTATGAAAGATGAAGTAGATTCCTTTTCATATAGCAGAATTGCATATGGTATGGGAAGAAGTTTTACCAGATAACTGCTATGGTCCCTTTACATACATGCATATATGTGTAAATATATGTATACATGTATAATTCCTAGTTCTTTTAAACAAATGCATAAGGATAATTCATTTTAAAACAGAAATTATTGGGATTGGGTCTTGATTTTTTTCACCGAAAAATTGTTAATTGAAGAATGAATCCATGAAAGTCACCGGATTCTACTACTTAGGACTTAGAACCTGGACATACTGTCAAGAAGTCAAAGTAGAGTTAGAGTAAATTGTCATTTAGTGTCCACTATGGGCATCCAAACCAAGGCCTCCAGCTAGTTGACTTGTGCCTTCTAGGGATGTGGGAGGAGGCTCTCTCCTGGATTGAAGTGGGAGTTTTGTCAACACCAGGTTACGCATGCTCTTAGCAAACATTCTTCTGGCAGAATGTTCTCCATTGGCACAGTTTTTCCTTCTCTTTTCAGAAGCAGACAGTATCTTCCTTTGCCAAGATGGCAGCCCCAGAATCCTTTGGAGGTGCCTCCCTGTAAACAATCTCAGAACAAAGTGCCTAATTAAAGTCAACTTCTTTCCTTACAAATCAGACTGCACATATGGCAGCGTTCAGCCTTTTGAACCAAGGGAGGGCGATTTAGGCTGGTCGAAATTAAGAACTTTTGCCAACATGGTGGCTGTGGAGCCCGGCTGGCACCATCGCTTTACCAAGATGGCGGCGGACAGCTTCCGGCACGTGCTCCCCCACTAAGCGGCCGCGGCTGCACGCCGGCGCCGGCAGGGACTAAGTGGAGCTGCGGCAGCCCCCGCTCCTGTCAGAAGCTGCCAAGTGCTGTCACCTGTGGGGGCGCAAAAGTTACCTCCCACGCCCTCCAGCAACGCCGCGCAACCTTTCCCGAGGCACAAACACCCTAACATGTGCAGCACCAGGTAGGAGGCCGGGTCCCTGCCTCGCACGGACACCCTCGCCCCGTCGTCTGCTGCGCTCTCCTCCGGGGCGGGCCCCGCGTCTCCTGGGCGGCGGGGAGGGCGTAACGGGACCCGCGCGGGCAGTGTGAGGCCGGCGTCTCCCGCTGCGCGCGTTCCGTTTTATCTGGAGGGCAGGGGTCCCGCGGACGCGAAAGGGTGAAGGTAGTGCCGAGCCCGGGGCTGCAAATGTCAAGATGCGGGGAGGGGCCTCGGCCGGGAACTAGGAGGCGAGCCCCGGAGGGGGTGCAAGGAGAGGTCAGGAGTTTGGGCGGCGCGCTCCGCTAGCAACTTACTATGTCGTCTGCAACTCGCTCTGAGGCCCGCCACCCCCTACTTTCCTTAATCACAATCGAAAAAGTGCAAAGAAATCCAGCTCGCCGGAGGTTTTGCATTTGGCGTGCAA